GAATCTGTGCAGTTACGTTTAGTGGAATTGATATTTCCTACCTGTTCACTGCCTGCTCAGAAAGGTTCTGCAAGGATGTGTCTAAGACACCATTATATTTAAGCCTTTGGGTACCATTTTGTTTTTAGCCATGGAACTGATAAAGAAGACTGCTGGAAATTTATATCATAAATCTTGCTTGCTCCAACTGTAAGCTTAGATGACAAAGCTAACCAGGATTATTTTTCCTTTTCTTCTAGATTTTATAGGAAGACAAAACTGGTTGGTTTTCAAGACATGGAGTGTGTGCCCTGTGGAGATCCTCCGCCTCCGTACGAACCACACTGTGAGTGAACGCAGTACAAACAGGGTAGAAGGGACAACTGGCCTTTAAAATTTTTTTAATTTTTAAGCCTTTCTTCAGTTGGCAAATGGAACAAAATCCGTCTCTCCTGTGGGCTTTATAGTGTGTACCCTTTTATCAAGCTTCCAGCAGGACACAAAGCCCTTTTGTTGTGCGCCTCCATCAGCAAACTGTGTCCATTGATTTGAATCTCCAAGTGAAATGCAGACATTTGCTGCTGCGCTGCTCCATTCAAATTCTTATCTTTCCTTCTAGATACATAAAGCAGGAAACTCCAATTAACCAGGAGGCCCAGAGCTTAATGTGGAATGTCTTTGTGCCACGGCCCCATGAATTCCCTGTTTTCCCTTTTTAGTTCCCAGACATGATCATCTGGTGGCATCTCTCTTTGCCTTTCCAGAAAAATTCCTCTCCATAAATCACCTGCCTCATTAATATATCATCGAATGGAATTTTAGTTCACTTCATTCACTTTTTCATTTTTCTCATTTAACAAATAAATGAGAAGAGAGAACTCATGCATGCTGGGGATACAACTGTAAGTGACAAAAGTGTGCCTTTTCCTCTTTATGTGAGCATTAGTTAATCTTTTTGACCATGTATTTTCCTTAGATATAGAAGGTATTTGTTACAAGTGATCAATCTGCATTGGTTTTGAATAGGAAAAAGTGGCTGCTCACTCTTCTTAATGCCAGGTACAAACCTGGCCAGTGAATCCCCTTGGGGCTGGGACAGGAAGGGAGGCAGCAGGTGGGCCCCCTCTGGTCAGGCTCGCTTGTCTGTGCCCATGCAGGGCGTTGGTGAGCTGTGCTTCACGATACATAAAAAACAGCTCAGTCCAGGAGAGAGGATGGAGGAGGGAAGGAGCTTTATCCCTGCAGAAGTTGCTCATGCCTTTCTGCGGAGCATTGTTTTCATGTAATTTCCAATGCGTGGGATCTGTCCTATGCTTCTCTCTATGACAAAAGCCCCCCCCTGAACTGATTAAAAGTTACTGCATCAGTTGATAAGGCCACTTTGGTACTTCTCTTCCCAAGAATGTCATGGAATTTTGCAGCCCATATTACTGTGTCCTTTACCAAAATACATTACTTTCTGTTCCTCCTTTAAAATGATAGAAAAGCAGAAAGGTCGGAAGACTTTCAACTTTTATAAAAAACGTACGTGGATCTTGATTTTTAAAATAGGTTAACATTCACCAAATACTTCATTACAGTTAACAAATGCAGTATCGAACGCCTTTTACGTATCAGTCACAAGGCAGGTGCTTTACTTACTCTTCTCAATAACCCTGTCGTTGGCCTGACTTTGCAGGTGAGAACACCAGTCCAGAGAGGCTGGCGGGTGGAGGGCAGCGGCAGTATTCACGTCCGAGTCTGTCTCACCCCGGCATGCTCTTCCTCCACCCTGGGCGGCCTCCCTACGAAAAACCAAGCCATCTAACCTGTCCTACATGGGGACACTTTCTTGTGTTATTTGTTTTAACATTCATCATTTAATGAAAATTCTCAAAATCTAACATACAAGAGACACTGGAAGAGCATCTTTATGTGGCTACACAGCCTGTAAAAGGACACGTCCGCTTGCCAATTGAGATGGACGACACCGCCTTGCCGTCGGGACGGCTCAGCCACCCTTTTGTCAATAAGGCGAGTTATGATTACACACTTTACCCCAGACTACCGCACAGAGATTTAGTGAAGAAGTCAGTATTGCCCAGTTGGGAGTGGGAAAGTACTAGGGGTTTTTTTCTTTTTAATTTTGGGGGTTTAAGTTTAATATAATCCGTTCAAAGGTCTCAGGCTTTGGAATTTTTTGACTTCAGGGTTCTGGTTAAGCTTAAACATCACAAATTTGCCTTTGAAGGTGGATCTCACATGTAACTTTTAGTGTCTTGTGAAGTTCTTAGTAAGTTGCAATTTTGAAAAGAAAATGAATTTATATATATATATATTTCTTCTTATATGAAACTTTTTAGAAAGCAAAGAAAAATAAATTATTTGTCAAAGTCAAAAACGCAGTGTGCATAGCTAACAGTCTTTAAAATCATAAAGCGCGACAGTCCGGGGGTCTGTAGTGAGCATTAGTCCTTATCTCTGAAAAAGAAAGTTTGCTGCCTTTGGCACGGTTCTTGAGAATAATTCCAGAACACAACTAATCTCCTCAAAAGAGATTTCAAAGTCTTCTGGGGAAATTGTGTAAGGCGCCTTATGTTTTCATTTCTCCTACTTTGGGCTTTTTAAACTCATCCACAAAAAACAGCTGTTTCAGAGTTTTTCCTCCCCCTGAGAAGTTCCTGCACTTAGCCTCTCAGCTATAAGAAAGTGATGCCACCCAAGCTAACGCAAGTAATGGGGCTCGTTTCAAGAACACCTGGTAGTGGGAGAGGCTGGAACTTCCCAGAAGCCAGGCGAGCCCTCACTGGGGGTCCCAGAGGCTCTGGAGTCTGGGGGCTCGGAGCCCCCCTGCAGCGGAGGCCCTGCGGCTGCTGTCCGGGCCTGCAGGCCTGTCTGTCTCCCCGTCCTGCTCACACCGTCCGTGCGGCCTCGCGCTGTGCTTTCCTGCGCACGCTCCTTCAGGAGAGCGTCAGATTGGGCTAGTTAAATGCCATCCTCCTGGCAGGAGGCCCTTTTTTCATTTACTTGCTGAACAAATACTGGAGTGCCTGCCGGTGCCAGTCCCAGGTGGAGAACAAACAGACCTCAGTCCTTTTCTTCATGGGGCTGACAGTCTAGTGGGGGAGCGGTCGAATAATGACTCCGAATTATCTGGAGTATTCACGTACTCCACACCTAGATACAAAACGTGGCAGTGATGTCCTGTGCCTGGCAGGAGCTAAGAAGGTACGAAAGGTAATGATGCGGGACACTGGGGATGGCTTTCCCCAGCAGTGGCTTTTGAGCCAGGACCTAAAGGATCAGCTAGAGGAGGACTGGCCTGGAAAGAAGACGAAACAGAGGGGCTGGAAAAGTCAGAATCCTGTCCCGCAGCTTCAGGCGTGGCCTGCAGGTCCCGGCGGTGGACACTGGAAATGTCCTTCACACTCGGTGCCCGAGAGGTCTTTGCTGACATCGGCAAGAGCCATTCTAGTGAGCAGTGTGTGGGCAAGGGAGGCTGTTTGGTTTATTTCATTTTTTAGGTGAAAGACACATCTGCGCGTTTGCAGGTTGAAGGGAAGTGTCCATTTGAGAGGGACTTATGTGACAGAACAAAAGTGTGAGCAGGCAGTTGGGGAAGGCCCCAAAGCACAGGTGGTAGCTGGTGTCCCAGAAGGAGGTAGAGTGCCCTGCGGTAACCAGGGGAGGAGGGACTGGGACGGATGAACCCGCAGGGACCGCGAGTGCAGTGGCAGGAGGGTGGGGGCTTCCGTGGCTGTGAAGTTGGAGGCACCATGTCCTGCCAAGAGCGAGACACGAGCCGGAAGAGCACAGGTACTGAGCTTCCATCAGAGAGCGGGAGGGCAGGTCGACTCGAGAAAATAGTGGGTTTCCCAGTGGCCAGAGCCCCGCTGAAGTGTGTGGTCATAGCAAGGCATTGGTTTGCTTCTCCTATGTCATCTCCAGGAACCTCTGCTGCCGGGAGGAGCCAGGCCACCTCTGAGGCCGCCCCAAGACATACGTAGATCACACCCTAAATGGGTGGCGTTCAGCAAGCTGCAAACAAGTCTTTAAAAAGGATGGTTGTCTAAGTGTTAATAACGCAAGAACAGTTTTACATGAATGGAAATACGGTTTCTTACGTTTATATAATACCTGAAGCAAACCAAGTAACAATTTCATAGAAAGCACAAGATGAAAAACTTCCCAAGTTTCTGTCAATGGTCTAGGGGGCCACCCTAGTCCCACTCTTGTCTATGGCTGATGTCACTTAGGCCAGCGACTTACCCCGCCTAGGGCTGGGTTTCTTGCCCTGAGAGATGGAGTGACACCTGCGACCAAAGCTGCCGTCGGATCAGATGAGACCCATGTGAGTTGCCTGGCGCACTGCCTGGCAGCGGGCAGAGTCTCGAATCTCTTGGTTCTCTTCCCTGCTCCTTCCAGCGTGCAATGCTGGTTGTATGCTTAGCTCTGCTCTCCTGGCATTTAGGGAGAGCTGCTGTCTTGAGGAAGGAGCAGGTGGCTGCCCAGGACGTGTGGTTCAAAGAAGAGCAGTGACGTGCAGCTGTCCCCGCGTGCACACTGCTCCCCACAGGGAACGGCACAATGGGAGACTGAGGAAAACTCAGCCACCAGAGAACAAGTACGTTCTCTATGGCTTAAATGTCAAAATATAAGATTCTCACGTCGTAGTGTAGACCTGTGTTCCCTACAAAGCGATTAAAACGAGGCGTTCCTGTCCCGACTCTGCGTTGTGAGAAGTGCTGTCGGTGGCGGTGTCTGGGAGGCCGTGGAGTCAGCAGAACACAGTGGGGGCTGCTGCCACAAGTTCTGGATTCACACCTTGGCTCGGCCGTGTACTGATGGTTTAACCCTGGGCAAATCGTCTCCCCTCTTTGAGCCTCTATTTAGTGTCTGGAAACTGGGGATAATAATGCCCATGTCTGCAGCCGTGAGTGGAAGTAGATGAACTGGTATCCAGTAACGTGGTACTTGCCCCAGAGTGAGTTCCAAGGATTGTCCACCTGCTGGCCGGCCTTCTCCCAAAGGATCACCCCACCTGCCCTCCGTCCCCTTGGCCCCGTCTCAGGTGTGCTCGTTGCAGGTCTGGTGTTCTGTTGGGAGTTGTCCCACACTGGATCTCCTGATGCATCTGGCCCTGAGGCTTGTCTTGCTGGGGCTTCACCTGCACTGATGGGTGAGCAATGAAGGAGCTGCCACGGAGTTTTGTGTCTGGCCAGGCTGGGAGGCTGGAGAGACCTGATTAGGCTGGTCTCTGTCCTCTTTGTCCCTTTTGAGGCCTTGAGCCCCACCCCCACCAGACGAGCTCTAAGTCCTGCTCCCAGAAACAATGGATTTGTGATAATAATCAGTCCACCCATAACC